AGCACGATTAAATGTTCTGGGATTCCCATTCTTCTCAGAGTCAGCCACAGTTTGTTATGATCCACACAGTCAAATGCCTTTGCATAGTCAATGAAACAAAGATGAAATGTTCTAGGACTCTCATTTTTCTCAATGGTATCCATAATGTCCACACAATCAAATGCCTTTGCATCATCAATAAAAGACTAATAGACACATTTCTGGTATTCTCTGCTTTAAGTCAAAATTCATTTCACTACAGCAGTGATAGCCCTTCAAGCCATGGCCTCTTCTGAATGCAGTTTGAATGCCTGGTAGTTTTCTGTGGACGTACTATTTCAGCTTTATATTTTCCTCAGCAAGACTTTACTTGCAAATGATATTAATGACGCAGTAATTGTAATTCATGTCAAAGAATTATGCACTTAAAAATGATGAAAGCAGTAAACTTCTTGTATTTTACAATAAAAATTTTTAGAAAGCTGAAAAATAAACATACAAACAAAACAGAAACCACCAGCTCAATGGAAGAGAATGCATATCGGTTAAGGTGGTACAGAAGGTTTTGAGCCATGGCTGAATAGCTCCTTGGACTCATAATGTCTACAGAAGCTATCTGAAGGCACTGGAAAGTGTCTCAAGACAGGTAGGAAATAAGACATGTCAACACTTGTCAGAAAGGAAAAAGATCTTAATTATCACTGGTAATTCAGTGGTGGCTGAAAAATGACCAAATTTCAATTTTGGTCAAACTCCGGGCTGCCCCTGAAAGTTACACAGCTAAGATTTAAAAAACTGCACAGATATTCAGCAGAGGCTGCTGCAAATGAGACAGAATAAGAAGGTTGTTAACCAAGTTAATTGCTCTAAAGTTAACAAATGAACACACACAAGAGACATTCCATGTACATATGCCAACACTCTTCAGAGGAATATAACAGAATCCAGAGCCTACAACTCATCATTCATAATATCCAAAAGATGATAACCCAAAAATATGAAATATAAATAGAATAGCATGACTCCTGCTCACAGTTTTATAGGAAGAGATGGTGGCTTAGTGGTAAGGAAACACACTGGCAACTCAAAGGTATGGAATTCGAATCCACCAGCTGCTCCGTGGGAGAAGCATCGTCAGTCTCCTCCCCTGCCATTTACTGCCTCTGAAAAGCTGCTGGAGGGTAGGCTATGAGTCAGTTCTGACTGAATGGTACCCAATAACTACAGTGTTAATATTTAGGTTGTTGTTGTTAGGTGCTATCGAGTCATAGACGACTCACAGCGACCTTATGAACGAAAGGCCTGAGCACTGTTCGTACATAGAGTTTTCGGAGGCAAGCCATTTCGGAAGTGGATGTCGCTCCTGCTTCCAGGCTTGTTTTAGTCGGGAAGCTCCAGCCAACACTGTCCATCCACCATGGGTACCCATTACCACGTTAGGCACATCACTGTCAGAGTATTTAGGTACATAGATGAAAACAGAGTGGTAACAGAAGAAGAAACGGACAATCTTAGAAGAAGTTAAATGCAGCCAAGTCTCTTCCCATCTGATGCAAGTCCCATGTTGTGGAATGGATCTATTCCACGGGGCTCTCAAGGTGGTGGCCCTTTTGAAGGTTTAACAGTATAACTGAGTCAGGAAGAGGAGAGAGAGAAAACAGAGAGCCCCAAAAGATACTATTTAAAGGCATAAAATCTGGAAGTTTTAAAAATATGGCAAAAGATAAAATTCATAAATTTAAGAACTCTTTGAAGCTCAAGCAGGATGAAAAGAGAAAGCCGTAGGCAGACACTTCTTTACAATCCCTCTAAGGCACCCTGTCGGCCTTTCGGCAGCTAAGTGCTCAGCCCTCTGAGGCACTGAGGACTCCAGCAAACAGTAAGTCTTCAACAGATATCTGTTAATGTGATAAAGCATGGCTTAAAGTCACATTTCACCTGCTGCATTACAAAGGGTGAAGGTGAACCAAGTACATCAACTAAAGATGTAAGTAGTATACTACTAAATCCTCAAAGAATATAACATTTCTATAGTTAAGGCAATACTTAAATTTCAGAGATGAAGTCTTGTACAGATTTCTATTTCAAACAACTGCAAATTATATTCCACTTAGCACTCTTTTCCTCCTAAAATAAATACTAAGTCGGCTTCTATTAAAGAAAAGAAAAATTCAATTTCTGACATAAACTAATGAAATCACCTGTCCTGCCAACTCCAATCGCTTGTTGCCATAATAGTCTCGGTCATCAACCTTATTATCTCCTTGGGCCAGGATCACTCTTCGCACCATCACTGCTGTATAAATGCATTTGGCTCGGAAGTTAAATTCCTTAACCTGTAATTCAAAAAGTTAGAGAAAAGGTATGAGACAGTGCACATTAAAATTCATGGTATCCCAAGAGACACAATCATTGAACTAGTTCAGTACTATTTAAATTGATTCCCCTATTCAGAGAAATGCAACTAGTTTGTAAGCTCCCCAGGAGCTAAGATGATGTCCTTTATCTCTGCCCTTATGTGCCTACAGTAGTTTTCAAAGAATGCCACGACCAGTTCCGCTTCTGCTCACAGCCCTCATCAATACCTGGAGCCCTGCATTCTCTTTTGTCTGGGTTGTGCAGTGTTCAGTTTGATTCAAGAATAGAGCAGATACCATGTCAATTCCAGGCCTCCCCTTCAAATGGGCTGGAAGTTTCTACTTCCTTTCTCTTTAAGAGCCATGAGACATGCAATAAGAAGGGTCTTAGGGACCTAGAAATATGAATGAAAAAATTGTCTTGGAGACTCAACTGGTCCTTCAAATTACTTGAGTCTCAAGTTCCATCTGTAATGTCATGAGAAGTTCAAAGAACAACTGCTCACCTAGGCCCAGTCAAAAGACAGTGACAGGACACGGGAGTCAGCAATAAACGAATATTTTATTTTAGAAATTATTTCTTTCTTTGACAAAGGGGCTGGCAGTTGTGTGCAGGCAGCTGGCCCCCTCCACATGAGGCAGCTGCTCTGTGGGGCTCCCTGGTCCTGGGGCAGTAGATTGGTGGTCTTCTCCTGGGCCTGATGGTGCTCCACCACTGTGCCCCTGGGGATGGAGGTCAGCAGACCTGGCCTCCTCTCCCACCAATGCCCTAACACTGCATGACCAGCTGAAACATTTTAAGCAGTCCTTTCTCTTTTATGGTCTCAATCAATGAACGGCCCTTTGCCTATAATGCTAGCTGATGAGTATACAGCCATTCCTGATTGGTGACACAGCAAATGGCCACCTGCTCTTTCATCTGCCTGCATCTCCGCTACCTCGATCTGCTGCCCTCTCTGGCAACTGTCCACGCAACTTCCTGGATGTGTGCACAGCTCTCTCTGGCTTCAGGAATCTTCCCAGAGAGCACATGCAAATCAATCCCTACAACCTCTGCGAAGTGCTTGAGCCAAGTCTCCAGGGTTGTTCTGACTCAATCTGACAGTAATCCATACGGGTATTCACTGTGTCTCTCAGACGCACCTGAGAGGCCTTGAAACAATTCTTTTAAGCCACTAAATTTTGGAATCATGTGTTAAGCATCAACGGAGAACACAAACAGCACTAAAACATGGCCTGACACTCAAGAAATGCCTTTGGATAGACAAATGGGTGTGTGGATATACGGATGAATCTGCTACAAATGTACTATTAAGCTTTTCCCAGGGTACACTCAGAACTCTGTAAGAATGAACATGGCTCAGTTAATAAGACAAATAAATGCTCACCCAATTGACTGGATTGTTTTTTGGGGAAACCAAGACCTTAGCTATGTAGCTACAGTCTTATCATTAACCAAAAAGATGTATTCTGAGAACAGCAAAGTGTCTATGCAACCTCAGCCATCATAACAAGGGCTGGATAGGGGGACAGGGGTGTCAAACGGTGTAGGCGAGAGTGGAAGGGGATGCTGGCAGAGCAGGGACAGGGGTGGGTCAAGACACACGTGAAAAGGGCGGGGAGCAACAATAAGTCTTTTGGTTGCTTCTATAATTGTGGAAATGTCTTTCATGTGCTCCTTTCTATAAAATGCTTATCTGATAGGTACCACTCTAAATGTGAACATTCGAATTAGACTAGAAAGAAGGATTGGCTATCCAGTACTGAAATAACAGGCCTTCAAAAACCCTATGTACAATAGAACACATTTAGACTAGGAGATATAACAACTGAGGCTGAGCCCTCAAATATGAAAACACAAAGGAGGAGGAACAGTTGTAAGCAGACACTAGTGACTGGAACATGGAATGTGAGAAGCATGAATGTAGGAAAACTGGACATTGTTAAGAAGAAATGCGACACATAAATATTAACACACTACGTATTGGCAAAGTGAAATGCTGGCATGGGGCACTTTGAGTCAGATCATATGATCTCCCATGCCAGATATGAAAAAAGGTGAGGAAAATAAAGTTGCTTTCATAGTTAAAAAAGCCATTGCTAGATCCATCTTGAAATACAATGTGGTGAGCGACAGGATAATATCCATATGCATACAAGAAAGTCCAGTGAATCCCACTATCATTCAAATATATGCACCAACAACTAGAGCCAAAGAGGAGGAAAGAAAAGATTTCTACCAACTTTTGCAGTCAGAAGTCAATCAAACATGCAATAAAGATACATTCATAATGGTGACTGGAATGCAAAAGTTGGGAACAAAGAAGGATCAGTAGTTGGAAAACATGGACTTGGTGAGAGAAATGATGGTCAAGACAGAAATGATAGAAATCACTTATTCATTCAGTCATTGAAAACACTTTTTAAAAAAAACATCTATGTAGGCTGTACACACAGATTTCACCTGAAGGTATGCATAGAAACCACATCAATTACATCTGTGGAAAGAATCACTGGGGATGCTCAATAAGCTTCAATTAAGTTTTCAGCTGTGAAAACTAGGCCAGGTGCTGACTGTGGAAGAGACCACCAACTACTCATAAGCAAGTTCAAGCTGAAGCTAAAGAAAATGAAATTAAATCCAGAGGAACCTAAACTTAACCTTGAGTCTATCACACTAGAATTTCAAAACCATCTCAGGAACAGGTTTGAAGCTTTGAACCTAATGAATAAAGAGTTGCGGGAGGATATCAAGACTATCAATCATTAAGTATGAAAAGGTCATTTTAAAAACATAGGAGGAAGAAAAGACCAAGATGAATGAATGGCATTAAAGTGCCAAGAAGCCACACAGCAAAGGGAAGAACTAAAGAAATTAAGGAGCTGAACAGAAAATTTCAAAGGGCAGCTCAGGAAGACAAAGTAAAGTATTAAAAGGGCCAAACTTGGTCGACATTTCTTAAGCTGTCAGAACTGAAAAACAATTTCAAGCCTCGAGTTGCAATACTTAAGGAAGCTTTGTGCAGAACAGTGAATACTCCAGGATGTAGGCTGGGTTTAGAAAATGCCGTGGTACTAGGGATATTATAGCTAATGTTAGATGGATCTTGACTGAAAGCAGAGAATACCAGAAGAATGTCTACCTATGTTGCATTGACTATGCAGAGAATACCAGAAGAATGTCTACCTATGTTGCATTGACTATGCAAAGGCATTTGACTGTGGATCACAACCACCTGTGGCTGACTCTGAGAAGAATGAGAATTCCAGAACATTTGATTGTGCTAATGAGAAACCTATACCTTGAACAGGAGACAGTCATCAGAACAGAGCAAGGAAACACTACATTGTTTAAAACCGTGAAGGGTGTACACCAGGGATGTGTCCTATCTCCATTTCTTTTCAATCTATATGCAGAACAGATTATCCAGGAGGCTGGGCTCTATGAGGAGAAATGTGGCATCAGGATTGAAGGAAGACTCATCAACAACCTATGTTATATAGATGACATAACCCTGTTTGCTGAAACTGAGGAGGACTTAAAGCACTTGCTGCTGAAGGTCAAGGACTGCAGCCTTAAATATGAATTGAAGCTCAACATCAAGAAAACAAAGATTCTCACCACTGGACCAAATGGCAACATCATGATAGATAGCAAAGAGACTGAGATTGTTAACAGCTTTAGTTTGCCTGGCTTACAATCAACACTCTTGGTACCAACAGCCAAGAAATCAAAAGACGTATTGGCAAAGTCTGCTGTCAGGGACCTCTCTAAAGTATTGAGAAACAACTATGTCAGTCTGGAGACTAAGGTGCACTGGATCCAGGCCACAGTCTTCGCAATTACTCGCTAAGCATCAGAAAGCTGGACAATGACTAGGGATGAGAGAAGGAGAATTGATGCCTCTGAGCTGTCGTGCTGGAGAAGAGTACTAAATATAACAAGGACTGCCAGGAGAACAAATAGGTCTGTCTTGGAGAGGGTGAAACCAACTCTCTCATTGGAGGCTAGGATTTTGAAGCTCTGTCTCTCATACTTTGGGCATATGTTCAAGGGGGACCAGTCCTTGGAGAAGGACTTCATGCTTGGAAGGGTGAAGGGGCAGCACAGGAAAGGAAGACCCAGCATGAGATGGATTGACATGGTAACTGGGCTATGGGATTAGGTGTGTCAGAGTCAGTGAGACTGACTCAGGATAGGGCAGGCTTCAGAGCTCTGTACATAAGGTTGCAGGCAACTCGATGGCACATAGCAACAACAATATAAGATATGATCTTTGTCCTTCAAAACCATGGAATCTAGCAGAAGCGCTAATAAAAGTGTAAATACAAAATAGCAATTCAAAATGTACTGAATTAGAACTATAAATGAAAGAATAAACATGATGGTGACACAGCTAACATTCTCTGATTACTAATAAATTACTGATAACATGTTTTCAGAGGGCTAATAACAGTGCTTTTTAAGATTCTCCCTTTTCCTAAAGAAGTAAACTTGAAACGTAAACCCTAATTCGCAATTACTATCATCACCCCAAAACCATCATCCTTCACAGACACAGAGCCTTACTCACAGGTACGTGGGTCAGGATGGTAGAAGCCAGCAGTTCTCTTGCTTCTTCTATTTTGGTTTTCTTTGGTCCACCTCCCCACATCCGCTGCCGTCTCACTTTGTTCCCAATATATTTTAATGCCTACAAAAATCAGAATATATTATCATATTTCAGTGATTTCATAAGGGAGATTTGGTGGCTTCAACTAGGGATATTTTATTAAGCATCTGCTCAACGTAACAGTATAAGAAAAAAAGACAAGGATGCAGATTTTCAGAAAGTTGTATACAGGCTGGTAAAAACCAACAACTGTCATGAGCGAAAAGAAAGTTGTGTATACGTAGATTCATTTTTCCAGTTAAGAGTGACACAGTTAACTGTTTGCTCCAGCCAGGGGCCTCACATACCCACTAACGCACTGCTCTTGAGTTGCTTCTGACACAGAGCCACTGTGCAGGCCAGACTAGACCTGCCCGCAGCATTCCCACGACAGTGCATCTTTATGAACGCAGAGTGCCACATCTTTCTCCTACGGAAGAGCTGGTGGGTTTGAACTGCTGATGTTTCCATTAGCAACTGAGTCCTTAACCACCATACCAACAGGGCTCTTGTATACGTCAACTCAAACTCAAAACTGCCCGTCTGTTGAGTTGGAATAAACTCACAACAGATTTTCCTCCAGCAGATTTTCTGAGGCTGTAAATCGCACGGGAGGAGGCTGCTCATCCTTCCCCTGCAGGGCACCTGGTGGACTCAAACCACCAGCCTTTGAGTTAGCAGTTCAACTCCTTACCCACTAGACCAACGGAATGACTTTAATTTAAAGAGTGACAATACCAAATACTGGTGAGTGTGTGAAACAAAAGGAGGTTTCACACACTGCGGGAGGAAAGAAAAGTAAAACTGTACAGTCATCTTGGAAAAAGATTTGGCAGTTCTTACAAAGTCATTCACACATCTGCTCTCTGACCCAGCAATTAATTCCCTTCCTCGGTATCTATCCCAGATAAGTAAAAATATGTTCATGCAAAGACAGGAATGTTTAAAGCCGTTTTAATCATAAAAAATCAAATCAAATGCCCATTAAGAAGCAAGCATATAAACTATCATCATAAAATGAGCCATAAAAAAGAATAAGCTATGTAAATAAAGGGCATAGCTCCACTGAAAAACTTACTGCTATTAAGTCAGTTCCAACTCAGAGTGATGCTACAGGACAGAGTAAAATTGCCCCATAGGTTTTCCAGCTCTAACTCTGGACATAGACAGTCAGATCTTTAACCCACAGAAAAGCTGGTGGGTTTGAAGCATCAATCTTTCAGCGTTTAAATACTGAGCCACTAGTACTCCGTAAAGAACATTTTCAAAAGAGTGAGAAGGAACAACTTGTGTCTCCTCAGACAATTTTCTTAACAGGAGCTTGACACAAAAGAGCACCCACGTCTACTCCTCACTGATGGACCACATCTCGTTAGCCAACCTTTACCCAAAATCAAAGTTGTTCTGAAAACAACTCTGAAAAACTTCTTGGGCGCTACCTGTGACGGGCCATATCCCATGGGGGGCGGTGGCCGGGCCCAGTCACCCTCCACAGTCCACTACAAACAAGACTTCAGAACCAAGCAGACCACACCTGGGGCAGCAGCTAACTGGCTGTGGACAATCTTCTCCCATCCATCCATGACATTTAAGTGTAGTCACAAAGGGTGTGGGGCGACGGAAGGATGGCAAGAGGCTAAAGGTGCAGGCGGTTGGTGAGGGGAGTCAAGAAGGTGGCCAGGTGGAACTGGTGGTGGCCGACCATGTCCACCCACCACCGCTGCCACCATCACCACTCCCTAAACCCCTGTGGGCTCCATGGGGTGAAAGCAGCATAGGAAGGAATGAGGGAGTGTGCTGCACACGGTATATCAGAAAACGTAGAAGGGCTGCATGATGCAGAGTTCTCTGGAGAGAGACATCATGCTTGGAAAGGTGGCGGGGTGGTGAAGGGGAGGAAACACCCTCAACTAGGTGGACTGACACAGTGACAGCAGCAGTGCACGATGAGTGTGTCAGACACTGTGAGGAGGACACAGGACAGGACAGTGTTCAGACTATTGTTCACAGGTTGTCCACTAATCAAAGGCCAGTGGTTCTAACTTATCAGAGGCTTCTCCAGAGGAACACAGGGCCGTCTGCTTTAATACGCATTTACAGCCTTGGAAACCCCATGGGGCAGTTCTACTTTGGATGAAAATGCAGCAATGAGTCGGAGTGTGCTCCTTGGCTACAGGTTTGTCCTGCTTTTAAGAACAGGTAAGACTAGCCCACAGGAGACAAAACCAGAAGAGTGGGGGATCAGAGTGGAGATGAGGACTGAAGAGAGGGGCATGAGGGAACTTTCTGGGGTGACAGACTGTTCTTTATTATGTAAAAATTATACAACAAAGATTCCTACATTTCAAGACACATAAAAGTAACTTAAAAAGAGACAGAACTACTAAAATAAATGGACGAGTGGGTGAGATTTAGACAAAGCGGGAACAGCAGTGTTGATAACTGCTGAAGGTGGCTGACAGGTACATGCAGGTTCATTACACTATTCTGTACACTCCCTAAATGTTGACATTTTTCTATAAGAAATTGTTTCTAAAAAATGGTTCTTATGATTTCACAACAACATTTTTTTTAAAAATCCTGACTTTTTAAATTTTTTCCAAACAACAAACTAGGAACTTGGATTCTTTATCCCGGAATCCTTTTCTGTGATTATCTGCCTTGAGAGTTCCTTTTATGAGCATCAACGTGCAGATTACGTATCAGCTCTGCTCAGGAACTGTTCCTAACCTGACCGTGTCTTCTCTGCCATTTTATATCGTATGTACTAAGAACTGAGGACTTTTACTCATATTCACATCACACTGTACATTATCCGTTATACGTTTGTTTCTCCTTCTAGCCTCTGAGGGTGGGGACTCTGACATCTTTTTCTGTGATCCCTGATGACTAGCACAGGACTTGGAACAGAATGGCATTCTGGGTCAGTGATAAGACCTGGATATCAAATCTAGGCTCTTCTCTAAAAGCCATTAATGGACAAATAAGCTCAGATCCTGAAATATTTGGTGCAGTGACCGAGGGAATGGATTCAAGCAAGCTGGCGGCATTTTGGTTAGCAAAGCAACAAGCTATGGACTCTGTCACCAGATAAGGACTCTATCCTTCCTGCCGCTGCTTGCCCTGTAACTAGAATTAACTACCAGTTAAACACAGGAAAAGAGAAAGTCAGTGTTGACAATAACCCCCAAGGATTTACGCTTTGGAATGACGTAAAATTAGTCTGAGACCAAACCCACTGCCATCAAGGGGAACTGGACTCAGCTGCAGGGTCTCTATGAGCTGGCAGTGTGGTTCGGTTTTGGTTTTACGACAACCATTCTACAAGGATCCTGGGTGACAGCAGACAACCAGGCTGGACTTATGAGCCACAATGCAGACACTTAGCACATAAATAAGTAACAACTTATGCACACCCATGTTTATCGTGGCTTTGTTCACAACAGCAAGGAGTTGGAAGCAACCCAAGTGCCCATCAACAAACAAATGGACAGAGAAGCTGTGGTACATTCACACAATGGAATACTATGCTGCATTGAAAAACAAGGAACTCATGCGTTATTTCTCAAAATGGGTGACTCTGGAGGACATTACGCTGAGTGAAATATCTCGCTCACAAAGGAACAAATACTGCATGGTGCCACTGTTGTAAAACTGGACGGACATTCGGATTAGGGGGAGACTGAGATGAGGGAGAAAACTGTTTAAAATGGATATGTGATTAGGTATTTTTGTCATGACAGGAGCCCAGAGCGAAGGCTGCATAGTGGAGTGGACCCGGGGAGAGGGATTGTAAAACAATGAAAGAATTTTTCTTTTACTTTTCCAAGAGGGTAGTGTACTAGGGGGGAGGGTTGGGAGGTGAGAAAAGTGCAACAATGAATGAATGGAAATCCAAAGTCTCTAAATTTTCATTGAAATTAATAATAAATTTTTTAAAAAATAAATTAACAACTGTCACTGGTCTGTCAATTTGCTGTTCTGAGACAACTTGGGGTTGCTGCAATGCTGAACACTGTGCCACTGGTATGTCAAATGCCATAATGGTGACCCAGAGTGGACAGTGTTTGGTGGAGCTCCCGGATTAAAACAGGCTTGGAAGCAGAAGTGGCATCCACTTCCTAAGCAACATGCCTCTGGAAACTCTACGAACTTAGAGAAAAGACAATAGTTACAGAAGAGGGTTCAGGTATCTTGTTCATGAGGTTGCTATAAGTCATGCTCAACTCGACAGCACTTAACAACAACAACAACAACAACAACATTGATCTCTGGAGCTCTGATGGTGTGGGTTCAATGCTGGGCCACTAACTGAAAGGTCACCAGGCACTCAGAGGGAACAAGGTGAGGCCGTCTCCTCCCTTTAATTCTTACCACCTCGCAAATGGGATAAAGAGTCACAGCACATCAAATGGACTCCACAGTGGTAAGCTGTAACTGTGCTCTGATGGTAGAAAGGACCCCTGGTGGTGCAGTGGGTTACATGCTGGGCTGCTTACTTAGGTCAGGGGTTTGAATCCACCACCACCCAGCATGAGAATGCTGGACGATATCCTCCCATTAAGGGTTACAATCTCAGAAGCCCAATGACGGGTGACCATGAGTCGGAATCATCATGTCAGCAGCAAAGAAGCCCTGGTGGCGAAGTATGTTATGTACTGGACCACTACCCAGAAGGCTGGTAGTTCAAATCCATTAGCAACTCTGAGGGAGAACGATGAGGCAGTCTTCTCTTGGTAAGATTTATAGCCTCGGGGAACTGATGTACAGTCACTATCAGGGGAATCCGCTGGACAGCTGTGGGTGTTTATTGTGGTTCTGCAGCAGGGAATTCCCACTTCTCAGGGCAGCTCAGGGGAATGTCACTACTAACTTGCACTTAGCAACACACTTTACAAATGTGGGGTTAAAAGCCTCAAGTATGTCTGCTGGGGTCTGCGCCCTGAGAAAGGAAGTGCAGTTGAGTCTGTGAGAGTTTACCATCTGCACCTTTCAGTCGTGGCCTAAAATTCCAGATTCCAACTAGCATTTTTGGTTCCAACCAATGCAGGTCAGTGAGGCTGCAGGATCTGCTCCTGAACCTTTCTTGTTAACCTGAAGGAATGCTGGGAAATTGGGGAAGTAGATAGAGACCGTGCACAGCTGAAGCCTAAAGCAACTGGGAGAAGAGAATGAAATAAATACGGCTATAAAGGACAAATACACAGGAAAAAACCAAACAATCAAAAACTCCTTCTGTGAGAGTCGCTAGCAGATTTTTTTACAATGCTCTCATATAGGTAAATAAGGGAGGAAAAGCAACATAACATTGTTTGCTATTATTAATGGTCAAAAATGAGCCCTGGTGGTCTAGTGGGTAAGGAGCTGAGCTGCCAGCCCAAAGGCAACTGGTCTGAATCTATCAGCTGCTCCTCAAGAGAAAGACGGGCAACTCCTCCCGTGTGATTTACAGAATCTGAACACCCGCTGGAGGGTCAGCTCTGAGTCAGTTCTGGGTCACTGACACATAACAACAGTCCCCCTTTTAAGGAGGCACCGAAAGTCCAGGCAACTCTTTCCTGGAATTCCTGTATATCCCTGTCAGTGCTTCCCCACCATCTCGCTGCCACCTCTCTGGGTCCTATCTCTCTCCAAAAGCCACCACATCCAATGCTTCTTCATGGAGTATCATGAAATGTGCAGCTCCACTCGAGAGCGAGTGCCACCACGGAAAGACACACCTGCAACTGTGTGAAAATCTGAGCTTTCTGGCATTCTTCCAGACTGGGCCCAAACGCAGCCATCACGTGCTCCTCGGTGCCAATCATCTGCACAATTTCCTGGTCACTCTCAACACCCATGGCCTAGGAAGGAAAGAAAAGACAGAAAAGAGTGTTGGCTTTGTGCTAACTCACTGACATTTGCTTATGCTAATTTGGCATTGTTTGTGGGTATTACTTCGAAGCAAAAGCTAGCTCTTCTCTCAGAAACAGTGCCATCTGGCTCTGGAAGCCAGGGCCCAAGCTGCAGAAGAACCTGCAAGAGAAATTTTGATGAGGGAGAGGAAAACAAACATATGCAAACACTTTGTGCATGTAGACTGTCTCCTAAAATTTTCAAATATCCCAAGAGTTTTGTCATGAATCCATGAGGTGGGAAGTACAGTGGCAACTGGTCACAATGACAGAGGTAAAAAGTGACCAAGAACACCAGCCACGAGGTAAGCAAACCAGAAAAGGTCCATTTCTGAGAAACTGACAGAACTCCAATTTGTTTTGTCACGCGATTCTTTTTTTCTGAGATTTATCAAATCATTCATATTCAGGCTGCAAAAAGTTTCTCCTGAAGAATGTTTTGCCTCACTCTTCCAGCAGTGTCAGGCTATCCTTTATATAGGATTTGAAAGAGATTTTTAAAAACTAAGAATACACATTAAAATGTAAGAAACTCGTTTTGTGTAAGTGTTTGGAGGCGGCAGCGGCAGGACAGGTCTCTGTAGATTCCGCATGGCAGAGAGAGAGTGTAACATGCACAATACTTAACAAATACTATTACATGCGCATGCAAAACTTATACTTGGAGCAAGAGGCAGTTGTAAGAACAGCAAGGAAACACCGCATGGTTCAAAATCAGGAAAGAATGCATCCTGTCTCCATACCTCTTCAATCTATATGCAGAACAGATCATTTGGGAGGCTGGACATCATGAGGAGCAATACGGCATCAGGTTTGGAGGAAGACTCATCAATAAACTATGTTATGCAAATGAAAGAACCTTGCTTGCAGAAAGTGAGAAGGACCTGAAGCATTTGCTGCAGAAGATGAAGGTCTGCAGTCTTCAATATGGATTGAAGCTCAACATCATTTAAAAAAACAAAGATTCTCACCACTGGGCCAGTTGACAGCAGCTTGATAGATGGAAAAGAGATCGAACATGCTATTTCAGCTTGCTTTGATCCACAATCAACATTCTGGCACCAGCAATCAGAAGTCAAAAGACAAACTGTGTTGGGAAAATCGGCTGTCAAGGACCTCTCCAAAGTGCTAAAGAGCAGTGATGTCAGTCTAGAGACTAAGGTGTGCCTGATCCAGGTCATGGTCTTCTCAATGACTGGCTACACATTAGAGAGCTAGACAGTGACAAAGAAGAATCAATGCCTTTGAGCTGTGGTGCTGGAGATGAGCACTGAATATACCATGAACTGCCAAGAGAACAAACAGGTCTGTCACAGAGAGGGTAAAACCAAGTTGCTCCTTGGAGGCAAGGATTACAAAGCTTCCCATACTTTTGACATGTTTTCAGAAGAGACCAGTCTTTTGAGAAGAACATCATGCTTGGAAGGGTGAAGGGACAGTACAGGACAGGAGGACACTGGCTAAGATGGATTGACACAGTAACTGGGGTACTGAGGTAGGTGTGCTGGAAGCAGTGTGACTGGCTCAGGATAGGGAACAGTTCCAAGCTATTTTGCATAGAGCTGCTATCAGCCATAGTCAACTCAATGGCACATACTACAACAATGTAACTTCTACCTTGATTTTAAAAAGTTTTTATAACAAGAGGTCATAGGTTCCTCTGGGCTTAAAAATGCTAGGATTTCGTATTTCAACTGCAGTGGCCAGAACACTAAACTTTCTGTCTGTACACTTTAGGGTCAGGTGTAAACTTCCAGAAAGTTTTGAAGCCTCAGGGAATGACATTTTATGTCTAGTTATAAGGCAATTGTGATGGCTTAAAATATGTCCACAAATTCTGTAACACTTTCTTCAAAAGGACAGCTTAATCCTCCTGCTCTCTGTTGCACTTTTCTCCCTGCCCATTCCTCCCACCCAGTTTGCTCCTCTCTTTGAAAAGTAAAAGAAAAATTCCTTCATTGGTATACAATCTTCCCCCCTGGCCCCCATACTGGTACAATGACAGACACACAGATCAATGGAATAGAACTGAGAACCTGGAAATCAGCCCATCTATCTATGGTCAACTGATTTTTGACAAGGAGATGAAATCAGTTAAGTGGGGAAATGACAGCCTTTTTAACAAATGGTGCTGGCAAAACTGGAAAACTATCTGCAGAAGACTCAAGCAAGATCCATACCTCACTCCATATACAAAAACCAACTCAAGGTGGATCATGGACCTAGGACTAAAATCAAGGACTATAAACTTCATTCAAGAAAAGCTTGGAAGAACTCTAATAGTCCTAATCCACAACATAAACAGTCTTCCAAGTATCCTAAAAAATCTACAACCAGGAGAAGATAAAATAGAAGAATGGGACCTTCTAGGGATCAAATCCCTAAGCACATCCAAAAACTTCTCCAACAGGGTAAAAAGGGACGCCACAGACTGGGAAAAAGTATTTGGTAATGACATGTCCGATTCATCTTTTTAGTACAGTGACTGTGGGCCTCATCTGATCTTCTTTGACGATTCTTGTGTTGTTTGAGATTTTGCCCCAAAGATTCATCATGACTGCAAGCCAAAGCTTGAGTTCTTCTTTCATTTCTGTAAGATTGAGAAATGCTGTGCTCTTCTCGTTTGTTTCTCTCACTCCAGGGCTTTTCATACTTCATAATATGCTACCTTATTTTCCTTCTTGAGCTACCTTTTGAGGATACCAAAACCAAACTTTACTTTTGAAAAAGAACAAATCCAGTAAAGCATTCATCATTTCCTAGATTAAACAGCAACCATGAAAAAAATTAATCTGTTCTAACTTTTAAATAAACAACAAAAGGACAAAGGTTTAGATCACATAGACCGAGTCGTCTCTGTTCCCGTGGTGGTGGTCTACACATAAAACCATCTGTTTCTCTTTGGTCTCTAGGCACCCTGTCACAAGTACCAGAATAGATTGTTTTACCTCTCTATGGAAACGATCGAAATAAGTTAATTTTCTTGTCAATCTCTCAAAAGAATTTTATATGGGTTTCAGTGGAAACAACCCAAGAAAAGCCACGTAGTTCAAGTCTGCAGTAAAATGTATCCTTTTTCTTTAAATCTTTTATATAAAGCTTTTCACCCAATATATTTCATTTCCAGAGGGAAGCCCAGACACTTAAAGGAGATCTCAGTAAGCCAGATACGTAACCAAGAAGGCCCGATGCTGCAGGGATAGGTCTACTGAGAGGGATGCATCTTAGCCGTAAAACATGTGGTGTGTCAAGCTGATAACCGAAAGGCTGGCAGTTCAAATCCACCAGGGCTCCCCAGGAGAAAGATGTACTGTCTCCTCCAGAAATATCTAGAACCTTGGAATTCCAATGCAATGGAGGAAACGCAATGGAGGGTCACTATGAGTTAGATTAATCTCGAAAGTGGAAACAGGCAGTCCCTTTCTGCACTCAAGCAAAAAAAAAAAATTCACTGCCATCAAGTTAGAGCTGACTCATGGCTGGGCCTCCACTGGGTTTGTGACTGTAAATCCTATCAGAAGGGACTGTCCTTCGCCCATGATTCCAATCACCAGGGAGGGGCAGTCTTTTGGGTTAGCAGTGCAACTCCTATACCATCTGAGAACAAGACTACCTGGCTAGTTTTAATAATTTTTACTTTGAGGTTCTCCAAATGAAAACACTATTTCTTTATATATTTGATTACCTAGTATTTAAGAAAAGTGAATAAAAATCTTTCCTCACTGACATATAGACAGCCAGTTTAAGGTGTCCTGGTACTAAAGCTAACCGGTAATTGTATCATTGTATACACAATGTTGGAATGGCCTATTATACATGGTTGTTGCTGTTATGTGCTATCGCGTTGCCTGTGACTCACAGCAACCCTGTGTATAACAACTCTGAACCCTGCTCTATTCTGAGCCAATCCCATGGTCTCTGACACATCTGCCCCCGTTACCCCAGTCACTGAGTCAACCCATCTTGCCCAGGGTCTTCCTTTCTTGGGCTGTCCCTCCACCCTTAGGCACTCTGAATATTTCTAAGCTAAGAAGCAAAAATAAGCAAGCACATGGCAAATCACACTCTGTGTGCAGAACGCATGATCGGCCCACACCATGCGGTAAGAGGACTCAGCACTTCTTACTCGGAGTCCCTGGAACACAGTGAGGCCGAGTACTACGTAAGGTGGTCATCAAAAGCACCCGGCTCTGAACACTGACTCGGACTTCATGACTGTAGCCTTCGGCGGGCACGGCTCCAAATAAATGACCTATTGCTATGGAAACAACAGCAAAATGCTCAACCATTTTATTTTACAGACACAACTTAGACATCTGAAAACTAGCTTTATTGGAAACTCTTTGTACTCCAGATATCTGAAATAATTCCACCGAAGTAATAAGTCAAAAGTGAATGCTATGTAATAACCTTATGAAAAGGGAGCGGAGATAATATGCTTCGGCAGAAGGTCACCCACAGCCCGCTAATCAGGAAAGGCGACGCACAGAAAATACAAGGAGGCGTGCTTTTCAAAGGGCGTAATGTCTCCCCTCGGCTGTCCACTAAGTGTGACTAAAAGAGTGACTTTTAAAGACAACTGGAAGAAAGCACACTAATGAGGCAGAAGAGAATGATATGCCCACAAGTGGGGATATGCTGGCAGACATTATGTAAAGGAAGGAAAGGCAATATTTTTTCAAAATTTCTGATACTCTACCAGCCTCTAATTATCCTTTAAAGTCACAGTCAAAACAACTTGAACAAACATAGTAATGCTCCTGTTGCCTAACTTTTTAACTCTTTTTCTTTAAAGATCGGTGCCCACACCCTGAGACCGAATTCTCAGTTCCCTACAAACAGTCTAACTACAGACAACCCTCCTACGGCAACTGCTGAATACCAGAGAGTAATACAAAGTGTAAAGTGGGGAAGATTCATGGGCAGGAAAACCTTTGTCGTGATGCAAGTCCATAAATAAGGCTGATGGATGTCTTCAAGGCTTTATCCATCATATTCAGGCCCAGGGCGGGCTCTGGGGGGACCCTGCTGTTTCTGTCACTTTTAGCCAATTGTTGGTTACAATCAACAACCATCAAGTCCTAATGACTGTCAAGGTCTGTGTTAGGGCCACACAACACACAGAGAGAGAGAGAGAGAGAGAGAAAGAAGAGCGACCTCACTTTTTCTTATCCTGACTTCTTTGCTCTGGCTCTGGCAATTAAATGGGTAAGAAAAACTAAGAGGAGAGAAAGAGCATCCCATATCTAGAACTTCTACTTCAAAAAAACATCAAACTCTGCTATCTCCCTTACTCTTCACAATCACCTCACCCTGAGATAAAATTCTCGCTACAATAGATGAGTTCTCTAAAACTCAAGAGATGGGGAAATGTGTTCAAGGTCACAAAGCTTGTAAGTAAAAAAGCTGGGGATTCGGCTTAGATGTGTCTCGGTCTAAATAGTGGCTCCCAATAGTTTAGAAAACATGGAGGCCACGAAGTGACCAAAATACTTAGTTCATTTGTTTGAATAAACATTTAAAAATACTTATTTTGTTTATCATACCCTTTTGGTTACAATGAAATATATGTATTTTGGAGGGAAAATTTGGTAACATGTACCAAAATTTGAGTGGGAAAAAAACATTTTATTCCTACTAATTAATAACTCTCTTCTCCCCCAAAAAAATATCTCCTAAACAGACGCATATCTGTCACACATGCCTGTGTGACTGTCCTTGTCTATATGTTCATACATATGGTCACACATAGAAACAAGGACAGTCACCCCAGGGGGTATATAAGAGCGAAACATGACAGCTAAATGTCCAACTATATGGAATTAGTTAAATAAACTGCACTATATTCATGCAATCTCCACATAATTACATGAAAAATCATGTTTCAAGTCACAGAAATCTATATTCACAATTCACTGTTCAATGAAAAAAAATCAACATGTACAGTATATAAAAAAACAGAAAAGAAAGTCTAAAAATACATTAAAAATAATCATTTTTCAATGGTTTTGAAATTTTACAACACAAAGGCTGTTTTTTAATCAGAAAAGGGGAGGTGTGTGAAATAGGGTCGCTATGAGTCGCAAGCAACTCGACGGCACATAACAACAACAAGAATCACGTAAGTACGTGCATTAGTGATAATTTATCATCCCATTCTAAACAAGATTTATGTCCACTAATATCTGTACTTATTTATAACAAATACTAAAACAAATTTTACAGAAAAAATCGTGTCTTAACAAGATATTGTCACCTGCCCCATATTTAATAAAGATTTTCTAGTTTTAATGAATATAAGTGTAGGGAGCATATTCCACATAGAGTGACGTAAGAGTGTACACATATGCACATCAGTTTATAACATCGCATCAAAAGAAAGTCACCTGGGCAACCTCAAGCCTCTGAAATTTTTTCAAAATCCATTTTGATATATGGGAACTTACTGCCCTCTGCTGGAGATGCACTTTTACAGACACACTTTATTCACTGACCACCAACCACATCAGGTACACAAGGCCCTGACTTGGGCCCTGTGAGATCACTACCAGGAAAGCTAAAATTAATTCTGGGTTGGAAAATAAAAACCAGGAAGGAAGGCAATAAAAATTATAACTGAGAATTTCCTTTGGACCCTTTAATACAATGGTAAAGCTATTATGACTAGTATAACCACCATCATCACCGCAAAGTTCCAAAACCTAAACAATTAGTACAATCTCATTTATCAATTTAATATTCATAGAATTTAATAAAATAACTTCTAGAGTTTAACAACACATTAAATGGGTGATCTGGTGGTCTAGTGGTTAAGAAGCTGCATCCCAAATCCAAAAACACACAGTTCGAATCCACCAGCTGCTCCAGGAAAGAAGAATGAAAACTCTCCTCCCATGCGATTTACTGCCTCTGAAAACACACTGCAGGGTCAGCTATGGTCGGTTCTGACCCAACAGCACACAACAATGACAACAGCACATGAAGTTATGTTCTTGTTGTTATGTGTTGTTAAGTTGCTTACAACTTAACATAGGAACCGTACGTACAACAGCTCTGATCCCTGCTGTATTTTGTGCCAATTTCCTTGTCTCAGATACACCTGCCCTCAGAGCCCCAGTCACTGAGTCAATCCATCTCATCAATTCCTCTCTTGTGCTGTCCCTCCACCCTCTCAAGCCTGAAGTCCTTCTTCAAGGACTGGTCCCTCCTGGCCACATGCCCAAAGTTTATAAGATGGAGCTTCAAAGTCCTTGCCTCACCCTCTCCACCAAAGATTTTTAAAAAACACAATAAACTATTACTTCCTCCATGTAACTACATTCAGAATACGTGCGTTCACAGAGTTGAACATGCGCTGTTATTCACTTGAAAAAAAAAAACTACCTTCTTCATGTAATTGCATTTACAATACAGACATAATTTACTGAGCTGAACCTGACTTGTCACTCCATGAGGCACTGGGGGATACCCCTTGCCCCGCCCCCCACATGACTGGACAGCACCTGCCTTCTCCAGCTCCTGCACAGTGTCACAGGGTCACAATTTGAAACAGTAATAGTCCAATTCTTTTCCCTGTTACACAGTGAAAACAGTTAAATTCTTTTACCTTTCTGAGGCTTAAGCCAATACCTATTCTTTGTTTTCAAACCAGTTTAGCTAACCAAAAAAGAAAAAAAAAATTGTTTTCTTTCTTCCCATAGCAACAAGAAGGGGGGGGGGAAATCCCATCTACTTCCACTTTCATGACAACTGCTGTACAAATATATTGAATTTGAAGGTGAAATTGAATAATAATAAATGCCTATTATACCTCCAAGATTACTTAAGCACCTAGTAACATTCTTTGCTGTTTTGTCAAACAATCTGAGCTTTTCATTTCTATTTAATTAACTGACAAGATAAACCTAATAACCAAACATCACACACCAAATCCTTAATGATGAACATGAGCTCTGGTGACCTCTTGTTATTGGGAAGCACCGTGGAGTGGGAACTGACCTAGAGCTGACCCTCCAGCGGATGTTCAGAGGCAGTAAATCAAACAGCAGCACACCGCTCATCTTTCTTCTGTGAAGCAGATGGTGGATACGAACCACATATCTTTGGGTTGGCAGTGGAATTCCTTACCACTAAACCACCAGAGCTTCTTTCTGGTGGTTCCAATGGCCTAGTGCCAAGGAACGGCCCTGTCTACCTGAAGGCAAGTAGTGTGGACCCATCAGCTGCTCCACAGATAAAGATGGGCAATCTCCTCCTATGCAATTTACAGCTTTGGAAACCCCACTGAAGGGTCAACTGTGATCTGGTACTAACCCAATACCACAAAACAGCAACAATGATAATATTTTAATTCAACTGTTCACAGAATAAGTATGATATTTATCAGAAAACTAAGCAAGGCCCTGAAGTAATCTAAGGAGACTGTACCATTTCTATGGGAGAGTACCTTTTGGGTTCATAAGAAAATTGAAAATTCATAGAAAAATTGGAAACAGAACAGAGCAAACAAACAAAAGTACTCAAAAACCCCAAACCACCCAGGAATTGCAGGTTGAAACTTTGTGTTTATGTAGTAACTTGCTAGAACTCAAAATTCTATTGGAAAAACTGACAAATTTGGTATATACTCTTTGGGCCAGTAATTTACCCTACAGACATCCTTGTTTAAGTTTAGCATGACATTACAATAGTTTTAACACACTACTACATGCCCATGTCCACAGAGGTCAGGCCATGCCTAGTGTCTTGGGAGGCTTATTGTCAGCTCCACGCGGCCTCTGGCTTCTTGACGAGCAGGTATGGAGGGCTCCGGGCGCTTGTGGCGCTATTTTCACCCCAAGTGGGGGTTGGCGGAGCAGACTTGCCAGATGCACTGAGGGTCTCTGGCCCAGAGTTTGCCAGCATTTGGGTGTGCTGGAATGATAAGATACTGAAGGGCCCATATACAGAAGGTTGTCACAAACCAGCTCAGTATGTAGTGATAAAACACTATCTCTAATAGATACAGCAAGTTATAAAAAGAAAATACATTGTAAAGTTGTAGGTTACATGTATAAACAAAAAAAATAATAAACAAAAGACTAACTGCAAGCTTTTCTGTGTGCACTGCACAGATTATCTTTAGAAAGAGACCTGGGGCACCAGTGACGGCAGTGTCTTCAGGGAGGACTGTATGGCTGAGGGCAAGGTGAGCTTACGCATCATTATAATCCTATTGTACCTTTGAGACTTTTTTATGATGAAACTACTTGAAAATAATTCTTTTTTAAATATCAGGGCCCTGGTCTTCTATCTTTCCATTTAAAACATATCCCATGAGCTGACTACCTGCTTATGTCACCACCTTTCTAATTTTTATTCTTAAACGTCTAACTACATGCAACTACGAAGACGGCAAAGAACTTGTTAGAATTTCAGTAGTGAGCGGCAGCCTTACCTTAAATATGATCACAATGGGTATGTCTTCAGACAGCGTGTTGTGTCTCAAGTAAAATCGTCCTTGCTTTACCGCTATATTGGTTCTACTTTTTTTCTCATGGGTGGAGCTGCAAGAAGACAGAGGTTGGTTGAGCTATGTTCTCATTTAACTACGACCTCTCCCTTAATTAAAATTAGAGAAAAAAGTTTCAAGCTGCTAACAGGAAATAGAAGTAATCGTCAATCAATAAGATTCGCTTGATCATTAAATAACAGTAAGGTCTTTTCTATTACTACAAGTACTTCTTAAAAACATGCATCCACCCCTATTTCCATAAACTTTTTAAAAGTACAAATTCTTCCCTACTTTTGAGAGTCCGGCAGATGTGTGTGCGTGAGAACAATTCATTTGATCTATTTCTCTCTGATTCTTCTACTTGAATTGCTTTTGACCCAATGTTCTGCATACACTTGTGACAAATATTATACATTTAACAAGAAAACCCTCATTATGGGTAAAAACTATGAGAAAAACTATGAAGATATGAAATTGCTTATTATGGCATTGAAATTAAAAATCTAATAAGAGCATAAGCCATAGTTTCTGCAACAGTGAAAACAAAATGCTATTAGGCCTAGTATAAGAAACGAGGGGACCACCTTCTATTGGTAAACTGTAATATTCCCAAAGGATTTTAAAACCATCATCAACAGCAGCAGTAATACACGTTTGCCTACCCTATACTCTTAAGCTACTTATATTATTAGCTCTAACTGTCCCGGAACAACACTTAGTTTGCTGTGTTACCTACAAATCCCAGAAGGGTAAACAAGGCTTGGAAAAGCTAAGTAAACTAACTGTCTATCCCATAACGAACTGCAAGTATATAAAATCCAAGTCTGAGAAAAAAAAACTCCATAAAAATAAAAATCCAAGTCTGACTCCAACACAGGTACAGTGGGGCAACAGGGTTGTTACGAAGCTATTAGACGAGACAATTACCACTCATCTTAGAAAGCTGTGGTGACAAATAATATACGTACAGCACTAAGCATACTGTCTGGTGCTTAAAAAGGGCTCAAGAAAGAGTCATCATTTTTAGGTGCTGCTTTCTTAGGGAAAAACCCCACAGTCTCTCTCTGTCATTGTGGTCAAGCTGGAAAGGACTCAAGAATCAGAGGCTGGAAAGTGCACTGGAGGGAACTCCCCATCTCTCTACTGAAGAGCAGCTATTGTATTTGAACCACTTGTCTTCGGGCTGGCAGTGCAACTCCTTACCTATTAAGAAGCCACGAGAGCTCCCCTGAAAAACACAGTAGCTCCAGGCTAACTAGTTCGTTGCAGGTTGTTCAAACAAAAACTTCACTTCATACTGACATTTTATCTATACCACAAATCTATTTCTAAAACGCACTAACTTGCAAATTTCAAATTACATGATAATAAGGATAAGAAAAGAACTACAACAACTGCAAGAGGGAGTCTGTTGTAGGAAAGCGCATACACTGGCCTGTGACGCAATTCATTCAATATTACATGTTCAACACTCTTGCCACATATGTGAGACTGAAAAAGAGGAAGTGTTCCTGGCTGGTTGTTTGTATTGCAAACTGGTTTAATAATCGTAGTGTTATAAATTACCAGAAAACTCAAATAAAATGAATAGGTACCTTTTAAATTACGTTTCACTCTTTCATTGCTGAAATGATTCTCTGCTTACAGACTTTTGAAATAAACTAACTGCTGGTAGTTTACCAACACCACACTGTCGTTATCACAACGCACTGAAAGACAATCATCTCGTCTTGAAATGATGGCAGTTTTCTAAGAACACCATCTCTGTTTTCCTCACCTGGTCACCGAAGCGCCGACTGTCCCTTTACGGTCAGCTTCCACAATGATCCTGTTCTTAGACAGCTGCTCTTGGATAAGAATGACTTTCTCTACTCCTTTAACAATGAAGTAGCCACCTGTCCAAAGGAAACAGATAAATATCACTCTCTCTGCAGAAGCTGGTAATGGCAGGGATCTCTGAATCAGAGAACACACTGCCATTGCTTTGGGGCACCATCACATTGCTCAAAGGCTTTCCCAATATTGCTGTATGGATAGATGACCTCGTCAGCACAAGATTTTCTACAGATGAGTCAGATGAACTCCTAAGGATAGAGAATGTACCTTATTTATGAATCACAAGGATCTGAACAAATTACAGGCTAATGAAAAATGTTAAATAAATTAGTCCTGAGATTTCTGACGCCCAGAAATAACTGATAATCTTCACTATAAACTGAAACTGGCTCTAAAGTTTCCTAACAAATGAATGGCAATCTTCAAAATAAACTAAAATTTGTTCAAAGTTTTCTAAAAATACCAGTAATAATACTAGATTAAGTTTGATATTGTTGTTGTGTACTGTAGTCAGAACCGACCCACAGCTGACCCTCTGGCGGGTTTTCAGAGACAGTTAATCACACAGGGGGCAGACGGCCATCCTTTTCCCGTGGAGAAGCTGGCAGCCTCGAACTGCATGCCTTAGGGATTGCAGCACAGCTTCTTGCCTCTGTATCACCAGAGCTCCCCAGATTAAGATTCATAGTCAATAAAAAAAAAATAATCATACAACATTATCATACATTGGCTTTCACATAATTCAGAGTAGGACAGAGTAGGACTTCATTTTGTAGTATATAAACAAAATCAAGGTAATCTATTTGGCTTAAATAGTATTTTGTCACAAACTATTAAAGTCATATTTTGTTAACTTCTATCTAAAACACGAGATTCAAAATCAACTCATAAAAAAATATCTGCCAAACCTGGGCAATAGTAATAATAATAATTTAAAAACAGAATTATAAAGTTGGGTTTTTTATTATTACTAAATTTTATTAGTTTTAATGAACATTTACAGAGATTTTGGGTTTTCATTCATTGTTGCACTGAGAATGATAAAGTTTTAAATATTACATAAAAGAGAAATATTTGTTGGGAATATAAGCTAATATTTTCGAAGGAAAGTCTCTGGATATTTATAAACTTAAGTTTATAAAAAAATATTTCATTTTAAGAGGAAACTTCTTGTTGTTTTGGGGCTTTTTTGAGGAAAGCAAAAGATGTGCTGGGGGTTGTGGGATGATGGGAATCAAACGTACCTGGATCTAAAGGACACTCATTCAATTTGGCAAATTCCGCCGGTGTTTTCCCTGTGAGAACACAGTTTGAACTACGCAGCATGATGGGCATTCTGTTTAAAGTAAAAAAAGAAAGCATCATTACAGACTGTCACCAGCAAAGAAGATGAAAAATACATGAAACCTGCAGTGTACCTGTCACTAAGGGTGTCTGATTTCCTATTCCTCAGGTTAGAAAAGGCAGAAGAAACAGAAATGTCATCAAAGTGTCCAGTGAAAACAGGGATTTTCTCAGGCATGACGTCCTTGCGGTATGGATAGTAGCTGAAATGTCTAACACGCTTAGAGTGTTGCATATCAGATTTCATGGCAGACAGGAACAATTTTTCATTCATTGTAAATAAAGGACATCTCATCAGTTACTCAGAAACAGCAAAATGAATCAAATCTAGAACTTACCAAATTAACTGGGAGATTTTGAAAAAGAACTAAGGAAAACTTCTAAAAAATTTAAATGTTTGTAAAAAAAGATCTATAAATATTCTGAGCATATTTGACATTGTTGAAGACAGAATGACTAAACTGGGAAAGAGATGAGAAGAAATTATCAAGAATTTCTTTCACAAAGAAACTGAAGCTATAAAACCATTTTTGTAGAATGAGTATAAAGATCCAAGAGGGGTGGGAGGCTGGAAGCAGAGGGATGTGGATGTGCAGGGGGAAGGGGGATTAATCATGGGGTTGTACAATTTGATGGGTGGGGGGTGAGGGAAATTGAAATAATCTGTTCTTGAAAACAATGTATTCAAATCTTGTAAATAAACTAGTAGAAAATTTAAAAAAAAATAAAAAAGAAAGACTTCACGCTATGAGAGCAAGTTTAAGAGTCACAAAAGGGAAAGAGTGCAGGCGGGACCCAAACAGGAGCTGCACGCCCATGGTCACAGCAGCACTTTTTACAAAAGGTGGAAAGAACCGAAAGGCTCCTCAAGAGACGAATGGATAAATGAAATGTTATACATACACACATCTATACACAGTGGAACAGGACTCAGCCACAGCAGGGCTCGGTAACGAAGTCCTGGCACAGGCCACAGCACGGATGAACCCTGAAAACACCATGTCACCAAAGGGCAAACACTATCCAATTTCACAAAATAAACACAAACAAATAGGTAGAAACCAAGCACAACTCGTCTGTCAACTTGTCGAGCTGCAGCTGCCTGTGTGCAGCTGTGATGGTGGAAGCTAAGCGCCCAGTGTTTCAAATACTGAAAGGGTCACTCATGGTGGAACAGATTTCTGCAGAGCTTTCCGACTAAGACAGACTAGCAAAAAAACTCAAAAATCTACATCTCCAAAAAAGGGCCAGTGAAAGCCGTCACAGCAAAACTCCGCCTGTCCTCATGGGGGAAGGTGAGCCCCTCCGGTTGGAAGGCAATCAAAATACAACCGGAGGAGAGCTGCCTCGTCAAAGTCCAGCTGACCTTCGAGACACTGACTGAGGAAAGCTTCAAGGAGCTTCTTTTGCTGATGTGGCATCAATCAACAGGAGAGGAAACACCTGCAAACACTGGTTAATAATCAGAACATGGAATGTACAAGGCATGAATCTAGGAAAATCAGAAGTTAGCAAAATAAAATGGAACACCTAAAGACTGATACCCTCGAAATTAACTCAACTCCCTATTGCTGAGTTGAAACCGACTCCTAAGTGACCCTTCTTTGAGTTTTCAGAGGCGGTATATTGCACTGGAGAAGACTGCCCATCTTTCTCCTGGGGAGCAGCTCCTGGATTCGAACTGCCTGCCTTTGTAACCCAAAGAGCAACTCCTTACCCAGTAGACCACTAGAGCGCACATTAGTGAGTTGAAATCGACCGGTATTGGGTGTTTTGAAATGGATAAGCATATGGTCTACTACTGGCAGAAACGACAGACTGATGAGTAACAGCGTCACAATCATTGCCAAAAATTAAAATTTCAATAACTATTCCTGACGTACAACATTGTCAACGGTTAAGATCCTTATGTCTATAAGAAGACCAGTTACTAGAGCTATTATTCAGATTTATAAACCAACCACTAAAGCCAACAATGAAGAAATTCAGGATTTTTAGCAACTTTTGAAGTCTGAGATTGATAAAACATGCATTTAAGGTACATTGATAATTTTTGATTAATGACAATATAAAGGTTGAAAACAAAGAAGGAGCAATAGTTTGCAAAACACGGTTGTGGTAACAGAAATAATGCCAGAGATTGCATCCAAGACTAATAACTTATTCACCTTAGAAATACCTTTTTAACACATTGCCGCATACTTTTTAAATTGACAACCATGCTTAGATACACATTTGCCGTCATTTGCGGCACAACACAAACACCAACTCTACACATGGACCTTGCCAGACAGAATATACAGGAATCACAAGACATCTGTGGAAAAAGATGATGGAGAAGGTCAATGAGATCAAAAAGAACAGGGCTGGGCATGACAGTGTCCTGGACCATCAACTTCTCACATGCAAGCTCAAACTGAAGCTGAAGATAATTCAAGCAAGACCATGATAGCCAAAGTACAACCCTCAATACAATCTACTAGAATTTATTTAGAGAACACTGTATAAAATGGATTTGACACACTGAAACATTAATGACATGTGAGTTGGGAGATGACATTAAAGACATCAGACACAAAGCAAACGGTCATTAAAAACAAAAGAAAGGGAGGGACGGAAGAAGGAAGAGAGATAGAAATAGAGAGAGAGAGAAAGAGAAGAGCAAAATGGATGTGAGAAGAGATTCTGAACTTGTTCTAGATACAGAATAGGTAAGGAATAGAAGAAATGATGATGTTAGAGCTGAGATGACAGAGTAATATGTTCTAATAAAATGGTAAAATCTAGAGTAGGAAACTAAAGGAGTCCACATTTCACATGGTCCACAATTGTGTCACAAGCTGAAGGAAATGAAAAGCATTCAAGCCTTGAGTTACAATACCAAAGGACTAACTGGGCAAAATATTGAACAATGTAGAAAGCATCAAAAGGAGATGGAAGGGATACAAAGAGTTACAGTACCAAAAAGAACTGGCAAAGCGTAACCATTTCAAAAGGTAGACTATGATCAAGAGGCAATGGTACTGAAAGAAGTCCAACCTTCACTGAAGACATTGCGGAAAAGAGACCACCAGGGGAAACCAGAACACCAGTTTAGGTGTTTGCACTGGATGAAAGCACTCATCTACGTAAAAAAAAAAACCCCACTACAGTCCAGTCCATGGGGCTGGCGGTGGGGGGGGAGGAGGGGAGGAAACTGTGCAACACTGAATGAATTTTTTTTTAAGAAAAAAGCAAACGGGGACAGGGTGGAGGGAGGAATGTGCAACAATGAATGAATGAATGGAAATCCAAGTTTTCTAACAACTTTCATTAAAATCACAATTAAAAAAATTTTATTAAAAAAAATCCCCAAAACAAACACCACTACTTAGACAACCAACTGGAAGAGACACTTACACCTGTCCATTCTAAAAGAGGGGGCCCAGAGGAATGCGGGAAGTACTAACAGCATCATCAGTTACCACACAGTTAAGAAAAACTTTTCTGAGAATAATTCTAAAATGGTTGCAGCACTACATAAACAAAGAACTCCAAGAAATTCCAGTTAGATTCAGAAAAGGATGTGAAGTGAGGGATATCACTGCTGATGTCAACAGACTGTGACTGAGAGAAGAAAATATCAAAAGTCTCCATGTGTTTCATTGCTGTGCAAAGGCATCGGCACAAATTACAGCTAACACTGTGAAGACTAGGAATTCCAGAACACTGAATTGTGCTTATGCAGAACCTGAACACGAAGAAAAGGCGGTTAACTTGAACAAACAAGGAGACACTGCATGATTTAAAACAAAAAAGGGTGTCAAGGTTATATCCTATCATCATAGCTATTCAATCTGCATGCTAAGCAAATAACCCGAGAAGTTGGAATATCTGAAGACCTAGATAAAGACTCTTTACAACCTGCTATATGTGTTTGCTGAAAGTGTAAAAGGCGTGAAGCATTTCTTTATGAAGATCAAAGGCTACACAGCCCTCCATATAAATTACACTTGAGCATCAAGACAAAGATCTTCAGGATAAAGCAAAGATTGAGACTCAAGGATTTCATTCTACTTGGACCCACAATCAATGTCCACACGAACAGTCAAGAAATCAAACTATGTATCACACTGGGCAAATCTACTGCAAAAGACCTTTTTCAAATGCTGAAAAGCAAAAAAAAAAAAAAAAAAAAAAGGCTCTCTGAAGACTAAAGTGCACCAGATCCAAGGCGTAATGTTCAATAGTCTCACATGCACAGGAAAGCTAGAAGATGAAAAGTTATTGTTGTTAGTACCTTGGAGTCAAATAGGACTCACAGCGACCCAACGACAACAGATCTGAATCCTGTCTTACGCTGTGCCGTCCTCATCATCTCTGACACACCTGGGTCCCCTGCTGTAGTCACTGCCACGCTACCTGGTGAAGAATCCTTCTCTCCTCACTGTCCTTCTACCTTTCCAAGCACCATGTCCCTTTTTCCAAAGAACAGCCTCTCCTAGCATCACACTCAAATACGTGAGATGAAGCTCTAGTATCTTTGTCTCCACGGAGCACTCTGGCTGCATTTATTTATTTATAAGACATATTTGTTTATTCATTTGAAATCTATGGGATATCCAGTACACTTCTCCAACATTGTAGCTCAGAAGCATCAATTCTTCTTCTGTCATGCTTATTCATTGTCCAGTTCTCAGATTTACAGCAAGTGACTGAAAAGATCATAGTCTATACAAAGCACACTTTCCTCCTCAAACTGACACACTGCTCCTCAATAACCTGGAGTGGTCCCTGACTGCAGACTTTCTCAATGCGACACATTTCCTGATCTCCTGACTGCTGGTACCAAGGGTGTTAATTGTGGACCCAAGCAAGATGAAGCTGCTGACAGTTTCAATCTCCTCTCCATCCATCATGATGCTGCCTATTGGTCCAGTGGTAAGAATGTTTGTTTTCTTGACATTGAAATGCAATTCACACCAAAGGCTTCAATCTTTGATCTTCTGCGGCAAGTGCTTCAAGTCCTCCTCACTTTCAACAAGCAAGTTTGTGTTATTGGCATAATAAAGACTATTGAGGAGACTTCCTCCAGTCTTGGTGCCACATTCTTCTTCATAGAATCCAGCTTCTCAAATAATTGACTCATCATACAGATTCACAGGTGTGGAGAAAGGAGGATTCAACCCTGATGCACACCTTTCTTACTCTGAGACATCACTCTCAGCTGGAACATTATCCTGCTATGCCAGCCATGTGCCTCAATTGAAAGGCTCTAGCTAGCACCCACCTAGGGCCCTAACCTGGCATGTTGACACTGGCCTCCAAAGAGCCCTGCCCCAAGATTTATCATGTGCTTGATATGCTGTAAGAGCAGGGACACTAAGCCACAGGAAGAAAATGGGTAAGTAACACCAGAGACTTGATGAATATGAATTACGGTGTTGGCAATGAATACGGCACATACTGAGGACAGGCAGAAAAACAAACCAATCTGTCATGGAGGAAGTACAGCCAGACTGCTCCTCAGACTTATTTTGGGTACGTTGTGAGGAGAGGCAAGTCCTTTGAAAAAGACCTCAGGCTGGTCAGAAAATGAATGTCCTCCATGAGATAGAGTGACACTGACGATAACAACGGGGTCAAATACCGCACACAGAGATCAGGGGGATGGCTCGGACAACGCAGAGTCTAGTTTACTAAATTCCCGTGACTCCCAGCCAACTGGACAGTACGTAACTATGGCTACAAACTACGCACCTGGCACCCCTTCCTACTTTCCTGAATACTCAGCATAGTACAGAACAAGCAACAGGGAGCACGAGCTGAGCAAATGGAAATCAACTGAGTTCTGAACACTTCTGACGGTGGGAAAGGCTTCCAGCAGAACTATGTGAACTTAATTTCAAGTTCAACACCACTACTAAGCTTGCAGGATTATTGGTGGTGTCCACTTCTCTAGGAAAAGTGAAGATATTTCCTTAAAGGAAAAATGCTTACTGGCAAAAAGGCTAACTGACGCTAACATTTCCAAACTTGTTTTAAGAAAATAAATATTATTGTTGTTAGGTATCAATGTCAAATACAACTCTCAGTGACTCTACGAACAACAGATCTGAACCCTGTTCTATTCTGTATCATCCTCATCTCTGATGCACTTGAGACCTATTGCTGCACTCACTGGGTCAATAAATAGCATTCCTAAATTCTGCTGCATGAGAGTTACATTTGTAAGAAAACTCAAGCCTAAATCCTGCATGGACTCCTGCATGAATGCCTGCCCAGGACAGCTCACTGGAAAGCTACCTTAGTGGTCCCTGACAGCTTGGATTTACAGAATGAGATCGAAGCATTTTCTTTAACTTTACAAGGTGGTTTCATAATTAACTAAGTTAACAACAATTATGCTATGTGCAGTTTATGGTTCCCAGTTCTTATACAACCTGCTTCACGGACCCATAAAAAAATTCCCATTGAGGTAGGTCCATCTTCAAGGAAATCAAGTAGGTTTCCTTGGAAAGTGACATCCTGCTTAGAAAGGTGGAGGGACAGCGAAGGAGATAAAGACCCTCAACCAGGTGACTGACCTGGTGACTACAGGAGGAAATAGGGCAAAGGGAACTCGCTTGAGGCCACACTGCAGGTTGGAATCCACATCCAGCTGCAGTTAGAACTTGACGTCTCTCTCACCTGCCGATGGGTAAGGCGTTGCGGATGATCCTCTGGCTGCCTCGAGTGTATTCAATATCCACTGTGATGGGGGCAGAGTACGTCATGTCCCTCAGACGGCACTGAAACAGAGACAGACAGTCACTCTCCTTCTCTCTGGAACAGGAGCCTGGCAGCTTCAGAGAGCTCCGTCATACGAGGAGACATACGAAGGCATACAGTCCACTTAAGCACAATGTCTGCACATGGGAGAGTCTCTGCCAGACTGCTGCCTCCGACAGGGGAGCGGTGGGCCCGCCTCCCCGTAAGAATGGTCCTGTGCACTGATGTAGGCATCTCTACAGCATCCCTGCCCACGCCAGCCCAGGCCCGGAGTGAGAAACCTTGTACAGAGGTCCTTCTCACTGATCCAATGACACTATCTACTCCATTATTTTTAAAGAAACTAAATAGCTCTTTGCAAATTGAGTCCATGGAAAACAATTCAAGACCATGAATGCTGGTCCAAATAGTTAACCACCAGTATAAAAATAACTAAAAAGTATACAAAGACACACACACACACAGAGAGAGAGTTAGAGGCTGTTAAGGCTCCCACCACTGCCTATTTCCCTGTCTTTTCAAGAATCAAAAGCTCCCTAAGGAATCTTGGAGCTCTATTTCTTTCTGTCTCAAGGCAGTCTCTTCAGTCCTATGTTTTCTTCAACAACAGCACGATGACGTATAATAACAAACACACCCTCCGTCTTCCTGAAGCACTGTAAACGGTTTGTCTTCCCTCATCTCTAAACTTAGGAACGCAGTTGAGAAAGCAACCTAGAAATCACCAACTGGCTGCCTAGATTTTGAAAGAAATCAAGCAAAAGAGAATAGAAAAGGGCACTAAATGAGGCACTTGCAGCAATTTGCGCTAAATGAGGCACTTTGCGATTGCAAAGGCACGCGGTTCAAATCCACCAGGTGCTCCGTGGGAGGGGAATGGGCAGTCTCTTCTCATTTAATTACAGCCTCTGAAAACCCACCAGAAGGTCAGCTATGGGTCGGTTCCAACTTGACAGTCCTTAACAACAAAGTGCTATTTTGGCATTTGTTTAACACAAAACAGATGCATTTATTTACAGACACTGTCTTAATACAATTCCCAGCTGTGGACACTAAATGGAAGAATTTGAGGAGGAAACCAGAATCTGTGAAAAGCCAGTGGAGAGGTCTGTCCTGTAACATAACCCACTGGGGTTCTGTCAAAACCCTGGTACATTACCTACCTTCCCACCCCACAGACTTAACAGACTCTGTGCTCCTAACTCCGTTCAACCTGCCTAACACAGGAAGTGCACTCAATGAGTGAATTGGCCAGGGGCTGGGCACTGTGCCAGGCACAAGAGGGGGTGGTGGGAGACTCTGAAAAAGGACTTCATTCGGGTAGAGTTATGTAAGAGCCCAGGCTAACTGTGGTTAAATAACTAAACAGTACCAGCTTTTTCCTGTTATGTCGTTATGTGCCGTCAAGTCACCTACGACTCACAGAGACCCTATGTACAACAGCCCTAAACATAGCTCTATCCCTTGCCAATCTCACTGTCTCTGACACACCTACCGCCATTACCCCAGTCACTGAATCAACCCATCTCATTGAGGGTCTTCGTCTCTTTGTCTGTCCCCCCACCCTCCCAAGCATGACATCCTTCTCCAAGGAGTGGTCCCTCCTTGCAACATGTCCAAATTATGTCAGACGAAGCTTCAGAATCCTTGTCTCCTAGGAGCAGCCTGGCTTTACCCTCTCCATGATGAATTTGTTTGTTCTCCAGCAGTCCATGGTATATTCACTCTTCTCCAGCACCACAGCTCAAATAGTATTTAAGAGTGTTTATTCATTTTGTCTCATAGAATTACCCCACTTCTTTTTAAATAATATCGTGAAGGCACATATTAAGGCAAATAAGCCCACTTCAAGCAAGATTTATGATTACCTCATGAGGGGACACTGGTCTCGTTACATTGAAGCTTTCTTCAACATCAGGAAGCCCAACGTAGATATTAAGATATCTGAAAAGCAAATTATTCCATTATCAGTTATTATATGTCTTCAAAGCAATATAAAGAAGCTATTTTCTTACCAAAAAAGTTTTACGTTTTGACAAAGGCTTATTACAGTGACAAATTTAAAACTAGAGGTCTTTTATTAAAGCAGGGAGCACTGGTGGCCTAGAGGTAAGAAGATGCGCTACCACCCAAAGGCATGTGGTTTGACTCCATCAGCTTCTCTGTGGGAGAAAGATTGGTGACCTCCTCCCATGTGACTTACGGACTCTGAAAATCCACTAGAGGTTTGGCTATAAATCTGTCCCAAGTCAACAGTACACAACAACAACAACAATAATAACATATTATAGGAAGAAATATAAAAGTATTCTTAATATAATTAAACATGTATTTTACAATTTCTTTTTAATATTTACATTTTCGTATAGCTTTTACAAAAGAAGAAGGAGCCTAGGAGGTTGAGTGGGTTAAACGTTGGACTGTTAATCAAATGGCTGGCAGTTCAAAGCAGCCAGCCACTCCCTTCTTCTACAGAGAGGCTACTAATGGGTTCACACTGTGTACCTTTCAGTTAAGTGGCCAAGAGCTTAACCACTGCACCACCAGGGTTTCTTCATCATTGGCTTACCAATCCAAACTTGTTTGATCCCCTTATAATTATACTATTTTCTCTCTCTCATTGCCATAAAGTCAGATATGTCTTGTGGCTGACCCTTCAGTGGGTTTTCAGAGGCTGTAAATCACACTGGAGGGGACTGTTCATCTTTCGCTCAGGAAGCAGCAAATGGTAGATTCAAACTATGTGCTTTGGGATTGGTAGTGTAACTCCTTACCCACGCGGCCACCAGAGTTCCCTATTACACAATTCAATACATTAGAAAATAAAAATTATGTTCTTTTAAACATGTTAGCCTTAATCAAACAGTAAGTTGAGAGCAGCCAATTCCTTACTTTAGATACCACATGGGGTCTGCATCACTTGTAACCTTTTCATTTGCTTTCATTATCTTCTTGATCTGCAGGTGAGGGAGAAGAAAAGCCATTAAGAAAGATACAGGCTTTAGTGACTTCTTAGCTCACGTCTCTTTCGATGATTTGATGCTTACCTCTACATTAATGAAATAGTTAAATGAGTCTATATGTTGTTTCACAAGGCCTTTCACCTAAACAGATGAAAAGGAAAAAAAAAATCAGCAATAAAATAGTCAATTATATAATAATAGACTCTAATTGTAGGTGACCTTCAAATTTTTCTCGAAATCAAACTGGAAAACAAATTTATAAAATCACCAAAACCAAAGCAAAACAAAAAAGGGAGGTAACAATATTTATAAATTCTATTAAGCAAAACTTTCCAATAATGTATTAAAAGGCCACAACTGATCCTACTGCCAGTGTTTTCGTTACTACTAAAGCAACCCTGTAGTACACGGTAGAACTGTCTCACAGGATTTCCTCTTATTTACACACCACACCATTCTGGATTCTATTGCTTATCTCAGATTTAAAATTTTTGCTTTCCTTCTAACGGCCCAGTGGTCCGGGCCCGTGCTGCCAAACAAAGGTATACAGTTCAAATCCTCCAGTGCTCTGCGCAAGAAACTTGGGTAATCAAGTTCTGGGCAATTAACTGCCTCTGAAAAACAGCTGGAGGTTCAGCTATGAGACAGTTTCTAACAACAATCTAAAAACTCCATACAACCACCACCAGAATGTTAAAGGAAGGGATTCCGCCTTCTACTTCTTTGAATTCTAAAACCGTAACAAAGAAAACAGTTCAAAAAAATGTTAGTTGGTGACAAAAATGCCATGGGGGTGGGGGGGAAGGGCTTCACTTTTTAAATCTGAAAACTATCCAATAAATAGTAAACATAAAATAATTACCTTTAAAAACGCTGGAAGCAGCCTCCATTTTTCCTGTGAACCAAAATAAGAGTATCAGAACTCTGTACCAGCAGTCAAAATATTGTCAGAATAAGTTATTTTAACATGCTTTCTCACAGTAAACAGAAAAAAGTCAAAAGTACAAATTTCAACTGTACTTTTGACTTTCCTATTTATGAAATTATTTGAACGTCATTATTTATGAAATTATTTTTAAATTATGTATAAGTTGTTGTTAATGTGCCATAAAGTAGCCTGTGACCCACAGCGACCCTATGTACAGCAGCTCTGAACCCTGCCCTGTCCTGAGCCAGTCTCACTGACTCTGACAAACCTGCCATCATTACACCACTTACTGGATCAATCCATCTCATCCAGGGTCTTCTTTGCCTGCACTGTCCCTCCACCCTTCCAAGCATGATGTCCTTCTCCAAGGATCAGTCCCTCTTGGGCATGGGCACAAAGCATGTAAGATGGAGCTTCAAAATACTAACCTCCAAGTAGAAACTTGGATTCACCCTCTCTAAGACAGACCTATTTGTACTTGGCAGTCCATCGTATGTTCAAGACTCTTCTCCAGCACCACAACTCGAAGGTTTCAATTCTTCTTCCGTCATCCTTAGTCACTATCCCCCTCTCTGATGCATAGCAAGTAACTGCAAAGACCATGGTCTGGATCAGATGCACCTTATTCTCTAGCCTGACAGTGGGTACCCCTATTTATCTTTCTATCCTAGATTGCATAAAGAGGATATAACTTTATCTTCTCTGGATGAGTGAATATTCCAGCATGATGTTATTGTTGCTGCTGCTGCTGCTGCTGTTGTGTGCTGTAGAGTAAGAATCAACCCACAGCTGACCTTCCAGCAGGTTTTCAGAGGCAGTCAGTCACACAGGAAGAGACTGCCCATCCTTCTCCAACAGAGCAGCTGGTGGCCTCGAACCACATGCCCTTGGAATTGCAGCACAGCTTTCTTGCCACTCTTTCTCACCAGGGCCTGGTCAGAACTCAAGGCTGATTCGAGATGAGCATTTTTCCTGACCCACTTTGGCTTAATAACGTTGTTGTTGTTGTTGTTAGGTGCTGCCAAGCTGGTTTCGACTCACAGTGACTCTAACGTAGCACAGAAAGCTCACTGCCCGCTCCTGTGCCACCACTGCAATCATGGTTGTGCTTGGGCAGCTCTGTCAACCCATGTCCTGAGGGGCCTCCTCCTCTTCACTGATCTTCTATTTAACCAAGATGACGTCATTCTCCACGGACGGGCCCCTCTTCCTAACATGCCCAGAACAGATGAAGTGTCATCATCCTTGGCCCCAGGGAACATTCAGGCCACTCTTTGTCAGAGGCAGAACTGTCTGCCCCTCTGACAGTCCATATGCACTGGCAGTCCTGTATATCAATACTCTACCAACATCACTGCAAATGCATCCGTTTGCCTTCAGTTTTTCTTGTTCATAACACTTCCCTCAAAAACCAACAGTCTACACTTAGCTTCCCTGTTCCTCATTTCCCACTCTTTCTTTACCTTCCTGTAACAAGGATTTTGACGCATTTGCCAAGGAAATGGGTCCAGCTTAGATCACTAAGGCTGCCAAGTCCAAAACCCTTCTCTCAGCTCTCAACTCTCACATGCTTTCCATGGCATTTGATGATACAGATACTCATCACTCAGTCTGGTAACACTCCTGAGACAGCAGTCTCTTCCTCTGACTGTGCCTTCTTTGTCTTCTGTTCACCCGGTAAATGGTCATGTTCTTCCAAGTTCTGTATCTGGTAACTCCTTTGCTCATTCTGAACTCAAAATCGGGCATGAAGGATTTTGGGCAACACAATTTTAGTGCCCTTCTCACCTCCAAGTCCAGCACCAGATATAAACTCTTCCAAGGGCAGCGGCCCTGTCTACCTAAGTTACCACAGTGTCTGAAACATAAAAGGCCCCTGATACATATTGGAAGAACAGAAGAATGAGTGAACGAACATCACAGCCATAGAAGAAGTAAACGAGTATGGGTATGTGGCCTCCAGTGGGGCAGCAACATATAAAGAAAATAAAGAGCTATTTTCAAACTCAGTGTGCATAATAATACGATCAATACGTTCCCCAGCCAGCCCTGTTGTTGTTGTTATGTGCCATCGAATTGCCTGCAACTCATAGCGACCCTATGTACAAAAGCTCTAAATGCCATTCTATCCTGTG